GAGGTCCTTAACTTGGTCCCAACTTACCTGGGACTTACCAGTCGACTGCCCCGACTGCAGGAAGTTCTGAGCCGTTCACCCGCGGAGGTTTCCCCATACGGGCCACCACTCATGGCGCTTATCTGGACCAGCAAGAAGGACACGACCACGACTCTTCTTCAAGCAGTTTATTCAGGAACCTTGTACATTAGCTTCTCCTTCTCAGCTTCTACCTCCACTAGCGCCCCCCCCCCAAGCCCTTAAAAGCAAGCTCATTACCCAATTAGCTCACGCCGCCTGGCGATCCGGGATAGGTCACAGCTGGAGGAGGCACACCTGATCCACTAAGCACTTCCAAATAAGGCTTGTTTACAGCTAAGCTCAGTCTCCCTGGCATCCAGCCAGGCGCCATCTTGGGGCTGTGGCTCCCCACAAGAGGGAAACCACGAAGGAGCACCATGGAGGGATTGGGGGCATAGGATGTGCCAGGCGTTCTCTAGATTAGTAGTTATGGGTTAATAATTAAGAGAGAGATAGTCAATAAGAAGCCCTAGCCATCGGCCAACAGTTTTATAATTAATTAATATAGCGTCTGTGTGCTTATTTGGGGCCGAAGCGTCGGGATCTGGCAGGACAAGAATCTCAGCAACACCCTCTTTCTCTGAGGACCCTCAGGACCTCATCTCTCTTCTAAGTACAATTTTTACTACCCACAAACCCCCTGGGAAAATTGCCAGCAGCCCTTGTAAGATCCTGTTTATTTCAGAGGAGGCAGGTTGGAGCCATATTGAGGCTCACAAGTATGTTCTGGGACAGGATGGATTACCTAATGCCAAAATTACTGAGTTTGAACTTAAGTCTGTTGGAAACTTCATTGTATATATCACCCTCAAAGCTCAGGCGAGGTATAGAGGATGAACGAAACCTTAAAAGAGATTCTTACCAAATTGTTGGTGGAGACAGGTAATAACTGGATAAGTCTTCTCCTTTTTCCCCTCTTAAGTGCTTGACGTACCCCCTACGGACTCCATTTGAGATTATGTTTGGAAGGCCTCCCCGCATTATTCCAGAGATAGAATCAGAGCACCTGGAAAGAGTCACTAACCAAGAACTTAAAATTCTTACAGGCACTCCAGGCAGTCTTGCCCAACGTCTATGAGACTGTCAAAGAGGACCAGCTACCCTACCAGAAGAGACACCCACCAGATGAGCCAGAGATACAACCTGTTGACTGGGTTTGGGTCAAGAAATATATGGCCCAGCAGCTAGGAGGAAAGTGTACTGGATTGTTCCAGGTGATCTTGGCCACACCTACAGCTACTAAAGTAGCTGACAAGCCTTGCTGGATTCACTAGAATCATCTAAAGCCGACAAAACCTGAACTTGTACCCCAGGAATGGGTGGTAAGGCCACTGGGACCTACCAAGGTGCAATTAACCAGGCAGGGAAAAGACCCACGATAATGCTTGTCTTTCTCCTGATCCTCCTCTCCCTGTGCTTAGGAGCTCATATGCCCACCTATCATGACTAGAGACTCACCCGAATCTCTTGATGGAAAGATTTTAGCCAGTACCACCTCCCCATGCCAGACTCCTTCTCTGACCATAAATCTCTGTGACCTAGTAGAAGATTATGCACACACCACAGGGTTACAACACATGGATAATTGTAAAAAATTAAAAAGATTGTATGCTAGTTTACCCTTGCCCCTCATATAGAACACCCGGTTGTGAGGGGAGGGAGAATGGCACTATGGGGGATGGGGATGTGCGACAGTGGCTCCCCG